CGTCGCGTATGGTCTCGCTAACACCAGGTCTCCTGCTGCCTGTTTCCCGTATCAGACGGAATAACTTACGATGATTGCCAACGGTAGCAGCTGTTTGCATCTCAGAGGCACGATGAGACCACCAAATTTCGCGGTCTTTCGTCAGCCTAGCACGTAGTTTTGCCCTGTTTTTGCGAGCCTCATTGTATTCGCTTCCAGCCAGAATACGTCGGCGAGCATCCATGAGTTCCAGAGACTGTGTAGAGAACCAATGTCCGCTTTGGCAATTTGCTTTGCCACATGTAGACATGCCGGCTAACAGTAACCTTTGGCGAATGTGCGACCAGTGATCTTCGACGGTGTTTACTGGGCGCTTACTCAGCCCAGATGTTAGCGCACTTTGATACACATTCAGAACATCTAACTTCGCCAGCTGGCTGGTGTCATTCCGTTCATATCAACGTTGCGGACGTCCACCGAAAAGCATTCGGAGGTTGGCGCAAACAAGTGTGTGTTCAGAGTACACGCTCCTGCTCCAAATCGATTGACAGTTTGGGACACAGCCTCTCCAGCGATAACTGATCGCGATAAGGTTGATTTGCTTCCATGGCTGGCTCGAGGCCGGTGGCCGCCAAGTCACACTTCTGCGGGTACTGTGTCGAAGGTTAGTGTTCGCGAGAAAGAGGCGAGTATCATCACACAGCTATAGCAATCGCTCACCGTTATCCTTACGGGAGCCTACGCCATGTTGGCCGCCGAGATGAAGCTAATCAGAGGACAATTTTCCGACTTGGGCGTTTAGATCGCCAACCAACAGCACAGTATCCGTAATTCTTCTGTAGCGAAGGAGCTCGTGAAGTTGCTGATGGAAATCATCTTTTTCCGAATCAGTGCTACAGTTTGTAGGGGCGTAGGCCGCAGTGACAAACAGGTCACCTTTGTCGCCACGCGACTTCGTAGCACGGAACGAACCAGCTAATCTAACGGCGCACATCCTACCATTTACTGGGAGCCAGTCGATCAGGGCAGCGTCAGCCCGGGGACTCAAAACATTGCCGACGCCAGCTTGACCGGCATTTGAAGCTGCATCCTCGACAGCTAGACGTAATGAGAATGTTCCGCCAGTGTCGCACGTGAAGGATCGCAGAGTAACCACGGAGCTCGAATCTTGCAGACGGGTTTCTGATGAACAGCAAATATCGATCGAAAGGGTCTCTAGTATGCGGGCAGATGCTGCCAGTTAGCCAATCTCTAACAAAGTGCACACGTTAAGGCATACCAGTCTTAGCGGTCCAAAGGACTCCAAAAGGAAACGGATGAAATGATGTTGTCCGCTTGGTTGAGCATGCACTTGTCGACTGGATTGGAGCGACACCCTGCGACTATGTGTGATTTGAAACTAGAAGACAGGCGACTATTGAAGCAAGCTGAGGGAGGGACAAGAATTGGGAGATTGAAAATGGGGTGATAAAAGTAAAGTTGGAGAGAGGCGATAAGGATGAAGAATCGCAAGAAAAGGTATAAGAAAACGGGAAGGTCTGAGCAGTAGCATCCATGCTCCTATCCACCCTGCTCGATGCAGCAGATAGGGCGCCGTTTATTATCCTCTGCGACGCCCAGAACATCAACAAATTGTTTGATGAAGGGTTCATTGTATTGCGTGGGCAGAATACTGTCAGGTTGCCCAGGCCTAGACAGGAGAGCGATGAGGGATCTCAACCAAAGCCTTTGGTTCAAAAACCTTACCGCAAGGCAGCGGGTTTTTGCACTAGGCTACAGAGATTCCGTTTTATGAAATAAGGAGCCACTCTCATTCCAACCCCTAACCTGGAGGACCAGGAGGCTGAGTTTGTCTGGCCTATAACCATTGACCATTCTGGTGTAAGTGGCTCTGAAGGTTCAAAAAAAGCACAACCCAGCATAGCTCAATGGATCTCTGAGGCACGCAAACCCTCGCACCACGGTAAGGCCCAGCTTCATTGCGATGGACGATACAGCCTTGATACCTACTCGATACTTCAGCAGACCACACTAGTCTTAATAATGAAGTATGGTGTCCTGGCGCCGCAGTCGTGACAGGTTCCGTGACCGGAGGGGCAGAATTCGTTTTCATCGGGTCCTTCTCCATGTGAACGCCAATATACGGTGTTGCTTTAGCATGTTCACTACTTGACACGTGTAACAACGGTCAATGGTCAATAGCATATTGCGGAGAAAGAAGCCAGAGCCTGCCATATCCTACCGGTTGACCGGTTAGGAGTGAACGCAATGAAGGCAAAAATAGCAATAAGAAATAGTGAATAAACGCAAAATGTGAACTTGCCGTTTGCAATGTTCCCCTCTGAGCAGTTCGCACTTGGTTTTATGTATTATTCAAGGATATTTTCTGGGGTTTCCGGGTAATAATGAAAACGTGTTGAGTTTTTTGTTTGTACTGCTGTATGTATGGGTTGTTCGGGTTAGGTGATATGGTTTACTACTGCCAGTGCGCCGTCGAGACGTACTTTGAATATCGCTGACGTGGGGGTTGAAATAACAGCTTCTGAGAGGGTATTCCACGTACGGCAAACAAACAGCGAAAAGAAGTTCCTTCGACAATCCAATTTACTGTATTGTTCTGATAACTTGAGATGATGGCCTCAGTTTGTGGTTTTTACTCAGCTTCAACAGATGCTGGTAGGGGTGATTAGTGTTGTTTAAAAGGTGGTAAACTATGAATAGGTCAGCATGCAAACGCCGATAACGTCCGCTGGAAATGCCAAGTTTTCTGAGGCGCTGTTCGTATGACAAGTGTCGCAGACCCTTGAGATTTTTGGTCGCTTGACGTTACGGAATCTCTAAAGCCGTGAGATCCCGCTTTAGCCATAGTGTCATGCCTGAATTGTATATGCTACATGAGTGCGTATGTAAGCGGGAAGTATGTGGCGAAAAGTGGACGGTTCGAATTGCCCGAAATCTCTCCATAAAAGCCCCACGATTAAAAATCTCCTTCTTTGATGCTTTTTTGGACTGCACCGAGCAGCCGAGGGCTTTCTGGATCAGCGAACCGAGATCCTTTTCGACTGAACAGAGTTGCAGATACTGGTCCCATAGCCTATATGTATGAACCATTCGGGGCATTCCACATTTGTCTACATTGAATATAAGGCGATTTTGAACCGATCGGCAAAGACAATGGGATAGTGATTTGTGACTGGTAAGAAAGCACCAGCTTAACACGTCCAGTAGGTTGATAATACAAGGAATTGCAAGTACGAATTCTACATCACTGGACTAACTAAAATGTGCATCGGTGAATTGATAGAATATCTGGATAAAAAGAATAGGGTTGTTATAAGGGGAGTTAGTATCATGAAATACGGATTAACAACTTATTGTCGTTAATACTAATAGTAAATAACTATCAGATCACTCAACAGTCCGCAAAGATTTACCTGCGTCATTGTGGGCTTTAATTCCTAAGAAACTGCTTAGTCGGAATAAATCCAATATATCCGTTCAGGTAACACAGTGTAGGGAGCTCAATAAGATATATATTCGTTTTGTGAAAATGGCAAAGGTGGGGCGCATACAACAGAGTTTGGAAGATTGTTTCAATGTTGGCAGTCCCGGAGGGAAAAACAAGTTCGTTCACAATCTAGACAACTGTATGTTTGGTCCCGTTTCCGTCTACTGCCTCTGAATTTAGTGTTCGGGCTGAGTTCTGACCGTGGCGGCCAACGTGACTGTGGTCAGGCAGCATTTGTTATACCAATATGAGGTCTCGTACTTGGTTGATCCCACACAGCATCGGTCGCATGCGCTCATTTAGGCGTTTCTAGTTTTCTATTAATAAAATAACCAACGTAAACCGACCTGAAGATGGTGAACGTGTTAACAAGAAGACCTGCGGGAGCTGAACCGACGGTTATTCTTGGATAAACCAGGAACCGTAGCATTATGTTAGTTACCACTGCTAATATTAAATTGGCTCACAGAAGGCAATTAGAATACGCCGACTGTAGGAATGGTGACTGTTTTCCTTTGTTATGTATCGGTCCCCATCGGTCAACTAAAGGTTTTTATAGTGCTTCACCCTGCATCCACCAATGATAACCTAGTCAACTGTAGATGTCGCTCGTTAGTATGATAAGCGGGACACTCAAGAAGGGTGCGGTCATAGTTAACTCAAGATGGCGTCAAGCTCCAGCCACCCTACTGTTCGAAGGAACTTACATTTCACAGTCTATATCTGCTAAGTAAAGCTGAATGGCTAACAGCAAGGTAAGCGATAAACAAACGTATTGCTTATTGTACTCTGGAGTCACAAATTTACCTAGCATTTTGTATCAGTTTTGCAAGGATTTCTGAGAATTGCATCGGTTGGATCAAATGTTGGAAGATGATTGTAATCAGTGATCCGTTTAGATCTATCCGCAATGCCCCGATGCAGCATTTTACCACGGTCCACAAAGTACAACTATAGGACTGCAAGGTAGTAAGGGCCCGGGAACTATAAGAACATAATAAAATCGTGCACAGCATGGTGTTGTTGTTTCGACTTCTTTCGATTCTAAAATGCCCTAGTAGCTAGGATCACAACTGTTTAACCGAACTGAAACTTAGGGATGCCGGTGTCGAAAGATAGCAAGCAAGTGTATATCCACTAATTCAGGCAGCCAGTTTACAGTAGTGCATTAACACTACAGTACGTAAGATTTGACTTCTAACTGCAGCAGTGTATTACAACTGTTTTCCCCCTTGCGCATGTGGCTTCCTCTCTTATAGCTGGTTCTTATGTAGCCCATAACACAGGTAAAAATTTATTAAACTGAAGGTGCTCACTGGTTTTGTAGTCATAATAGGCATTAAAAGCATCCAAATCCATCACCAAAAACCAAAGATTTGTATGTGTATGGAGTAGGTAGAAGCTGCATTTATTAATTAAGTATGGGAACCTGCTACCCAGTGTTGTTGGGATTAGCCACGCATATATTATTTTCCCCTTCTGAGTTTTGCTTCTTTCCGCATTTTTCAACCAGAAACGTGGCCTCATCAAACGGTTTTGCATTCCCGAAATGAATCTGATTCGCTATATGAAAGTTGTGGAGGAGAATTATCACGACGTTCCCTATCACAACCGATTGCATGCAACGGACGTTGTCCAATCCGCTCATGTTCTGCTCAGTACACGCTCAGTTGCGGTAAGTAAAGTCAACGTCTGGCATATGTGTTTGTTGTTCTACACAGTGGTTTGAGTAGACCACCAACTGGGCAATAATATGCTTTCCTCATAGATTGGGATGTTTACTAAAACTTCCTTCGATTCATTTTATTCTCCGATCAGCAAACGTTGTTGTGCCACAATCAATTCGAGAATTTAAAAATATACGACGGGCGTTCGATACGTTTTTAGCTGGACACAATGGAGAATCAGAAATCATAACGCCTGTTTTATCTTTGTACATAATCACCTCAATGTTGATTACACTTTGCATTTCGGTGTTGCAATTACTCAACCTTTGAGTATATAAGTGTCGTTTTTGATCCGTCAACCAGCTCTCTATGGTCCGCAATCAGATTTTCTCCTGAAGTCAAATACTTGCATTTAAGGAACAAATCAAACGTGGAAATTAAGGAAAGTCACAAGGTCAAACCACGAGGATAGGCTAGATTAGACGGTTCCAAAAAGCCACATTCACGGATGGCAATCTTTGATACCATAACAGTATGTGCTGATGGACTGTGCGGCAGAATCAGAGCATAGACTCACAACAATCCTCTACACTTTTCTCAAAGGCAAACTTCGAGCTATTGTATCAAAGCATCTTAGTAGTCACCAGTGGTACCCATCTTGCGTGGTGTATCGCAAGTTAAAGGCATGTCATCATTATCAAAAATTGTGTACATGACTTGCCTTCACTGTGTTGAGCTTCACATATCCTGAACACTAAAGAGTCCTGGTGATTCAACTTTCAGGATGGTACTCACTTTGGATACTTATGGTGAACGTACGTCTCAGTACGGTCAGTAATCTACGTTTCTATTGGTCTTAGTCTTTGTACATGAACTCGAAATTTTCAGCTTGAAATCTGAGACGGTTTTCATTCATTTCAAGAGTAGTATTTCATACACACCTTTGCCGTATTCAAATCTTCTTGAGGAATCCTTTCGACAGTTGATTAACAGATTTAAATTGTAAAGCTATTTTTCACATAGTGGTTTGTCGATCTTTTATCACCTCCCCAGCAGCATAGTTTGCTTCAGAAGTCGTCTCAAAAGGTCTTCATGACCGTTACTCAACTTAGAACGATACCTTTCCTTGACAACGTTCAACAGTCACAAGTTCAGTTGTTGCATACGAAGAGCAGTGGTCTTGGTAAACGTGAACTTTCTGTGCCTGAATGTCCTACAATGGCTCTGTGCTCAAGTCCTTGTTTTTTTTAGACAATGAAGGGCGATACTGATTGTTATAACGTAAAAAGCAAGAGAGCAGTTTAAAAGCTCACAGCATAATTGATGGGCTAAGCTAGGGTAACAATCGGACACATTATAGTAGTCGTCATCATCGTGTATTAAAGTTGGGCCCGTATAACTACACGCCACTTCAAACAAAGGCTGTGACGACGCAGACAGCAAATATCTCGAACTAATGCAGATGTGTTTAACCATTGCAAGTTAAACAAGCTACATTTTGCAAGATTATTTCATCTCTGAAACAGTTGAATTTTTGCGTCATGTCCTGTCGGCCGGTGGCCGAGTGGTCTGCACGTTTGCTTTGCAACCATAAGGTCACTGCGTAGGGTTGGACGTCCTCGTGGTATACTTAACCCGCGCACAACTGGTGATAGTCGCGCGGCAGCGAAACGCCGTTACGACGTACAGCTGACACGTCGTTATTTTGTCATGTTCTAGGAAACATACAGTCTAATACTGATAGTGGTTTTATAAAGCCAGCGTAGTAATGGTTTGGAGAATTAACTTACCTTGAGAATGTTTCCGTTTGAGAAAATTTGTCCAAATAGCGAAAGTCGAACTACTATATAGAAACACTTTGATCCTCGTTGGCCTTATTTCAACTATTTAAAACGCTGAAAGCATGTGCTATAGGTGTTTTTTTTATCGCCTTTGAGTATACCAGAATAATACGCTACTTATTATGCTCAGCAGTTTTTGTTAGCCACCTGCAGGCACACAGACTTGTGGCCAGCCTATTCAGTGCTCAAGAATTCGGAAAGCAGGCCAAGTGCACTAAAGCAGTACACTGTCAGTAACTTAAGTTTATGAAATCCTATTAAGGACTAGTCCAACTCTTTTGAAAACGTCATATGACAGGCCAGCCTGAAACTGACATCGTCCAACCCGGTGAATCATGTCACTTTAAACAAACCATAGACATGGCATTTGACAGTTCTTAGATTCAGACAAGGTTGCAATATCTTGCTTGGTAAACAATACCGGAACAAAACAACACCAAAACAATATCATTAGAGCGTCATCACCATCATCGTCACTCGTTAGTCGAAGGTGAGAAACACACCTCAGCTAACGTGGCGTAACAAAAAATATAAGACATTAAGCAATGTAGTCTTAAAAGCTACAGTAAGTAACATAATGCTAATATTAGTTTTTGCTCGTTGTTTGAGGGGAAGCTAAATGGAAGGGGAGGGACAAAGCGACCCATAACACAAACGCCATTGAGATCGACTCTTCCCCATGCCGGACGATGTGTCCGACCAAACCAGCTCATCATCCTTCGGTCCCCAACCAGGTAGCGACGAAACACCAACTGACGTCAAATGCAAAGTGAGAGACTTCATTCCTCTCGACCAAGTCGTCTCTTGACCTCTCCTCCTCTTCGTCCATCCACACCCCCGGCGCTCAAACAACGCAAGTCGCGGCAGTCGGAGGGTTGGCATACACAACATGTGGCCAACCATCGGAGCGTGGTGCGTGAAATTACGGTGCTCAGGGGTTCACTCGCTCTTCCTGCACCAATACGCGACGCTGAACGCACTCATTGCTCACGCGGTGCTCGCACGAGCCATAAGCTAAGCTGTGGAGGCAGCGAGGATCGAAACTAACTAATCTCTTTATGTCTGTTGACTTGATGTGCCAAGTTTCGTAACCATAAAGAAAGGTTGTACGGAAAGTAGCAATGTAAACTCTGCCTTCAGCACGAGAATAATGTCACACCGGCGTTACAGATGGCACAGATTAACAAAGCGCATTGAGCTTTTGCTATACGGTTCGTGATCTGATCATCCTTTCCATTGACTCTGACATAGCTGCCCAGATACTTGAATTTCGCGACTACTTCTGAATTATCACTGACGAAGTTCAGTGCAGCGGTAGGTCCCTGCCAATCTTGGAGAAGTACTTTGCTTTTCGATGGTACAAAGCATAGCCTAAAACGACTGACAGCCAGAGCTAATTTATCCAATACAGGGTGGCACGTTCGGGGGCTGCCACAGATGCGCGCAGTCGTTTGCATACTCCAAGTTGAGAAGTCGTTCACCAGATAGAAGGTGCACAGCTTCCACGTCGTGTCTGGCGAACGCCGTTTCCATGACTATTCCCTCATTTAGTTCGTTACTTATGTATGTACATACTGAACTGTAACTTTCAAGAGGGCAGTCGCATTACGAATCGAACTGGTAACTGTTCATCTTTGTATTTAATTTTCTGACGCGAAATGTGCACATATTTTGTGCTTGCGGTCTCGGATTTAAAAGGAACTACTGAACACCTTCCACAATTCAGAGCCCAGAAGTTCTTCGTTAGGGTAAAATGTTTCGTAAACTTACTTGCTTCATCAATCCAATCTAACACACTTTTGGTCTCCGAGAAGCTCCCATGCATGTACACAAATGCCCAAGATCTACTCAGCAAATTAACTGAATTAAGAGTTCGACACGCGTCAGCAGCTTGGGACCTCATCTCTGTCACCGAAACGTGGTTGCGCTGCGAGATAACGGATGCTTAAATCGAGCTAACGGGCATGTCCGTTGTGCGGAAGGATCGAACCAGCAAAGATGGTGGGGTAGCCCTCTACTTTCGTAACAACATGCAATGCGAACCCATAAACGATTGGGAAACCGACGTGCCTGACGCAATTTGGTGTAATTTCCGGCTGAGAGGGAACGATCTTGGCCTATTGGTTGTTGTTTACCGCCCACCATCGTCTACTCCTGAGGTGGACTGCAATTTGATGGCTGCGTTGTGGCAAGTGATAAACAGGAAGTACAGTCACATTCTAGTCACCGGTGACTTCAACTTACATGCTCCCGAATCCCAGGCCACACCAGGAGAGCAATTCAAAGCAGACATATAAGATCTCGTTTCAGAATTCCCGCTTTATGGCCAGATCACTACGCCCACCAGGTTCAGGGGAACTGACAGGCCATCGATATTGGACCGAATATTCACTAATGAAGCATTGCTGGTCGAGAGAGTGAAAACCGATACTCCTTTGGGCCGCAGTGCTCATGCGACGCTAGTGTTTCGTTACATGTGCTACGCGGATTATCCTAAAGAGCCTGCCGAGGAATATGATGTCGTAACCAACTATGACAACCTGTCCGACCTCACTTATGCAACTAGCTGGTCGTTCTTAGCTGAAATAATCCCTGAGGTCGCCTGCGGAGAATTCGTCAACCTATTTACCAAGCTCGTGGCAAGGACATCGGAAACCAAACTCTGCCGGCCTAAAATGATGAAGTCTTTCGTAAGGAGCAGGACACGTAAATGCATGGCATTAAGGGACTTGGCATGGCACACATACGTAGCCCCCTGAACGACCATACCTGGGATGTCTACACAAAGCAAAGAAACCACTGTGTCAAACTCGTCCGGGAGGATAAACTGAAGCACCAACTAGGTCTAATAGAAAAGTTTTGCTCCAATCCCAAACTGCTATACAGACACGTAAACAATTTGCGCCGTGTTAAACGCGGTATTCCTGATCTGCACACAGCATACGGATTAGCCCAAACCGAACAAGAGGCGGCCAAGATTCTTGGACAACAATTTGGCCGTACCTCTCAAAGCGCGCAACCATCATGCATCCTGGCTAAGCAGATAACGCTGCCATCAGGGCTTAATCACATATCGTTCACCTCCGCAGCTGTACTGAAGAGGCTAATGTCTCTGCGCGAGTTCAGCTCCCCGGGTGCGGACGGCATTCGCCCGAAGGCGTTGAAAG